GAGAGAGAGAGAGAGAGAGAGAGAGAGAGAGAGAGAGAGAGAGAGAGAGAGAGAGAGAGAGTGGTGGGGAAGACATTCAGAGAGGATGAGAGAGGCCTGAGGGTAGTGAGGACTTGAGAGAGGTAGTGAGAGAGTAACCTTCCTGTGTGAGTGGTGGCCATAGCCGCCGGTGTATAAAACTTTGAATTTTAAAACAATTTCCGGTGTGTTCTCATATCGTGTTGATTTGCATCTCATGTGTGGAGGCTTGCATGCTGAAGTGTGAGCTTGTGATGTTGCAAGCAGCAGTGTGAATTCATGAGACCATTACAATTAAATCATTTATAAATTTATGATATTCTTGTAATCAGTTAATATCATTTAGCAGTAGTTTATAAAATAATAATAATTGAATAGATAACGGCCTGAATTTCTGTGCAATGGTCTTATGTCTGCAGCCTCCGTTGAGTGAAATATGCTCAACCAATTGTGAGAAATAAAATTAGTTTTTAAAACGCTGAAAAGTTGCCTGAACTCTTGCATTGGCGTGAAAAGGACCATTTTTCACTGACATCAAACCCGTGAAGCTGTGTGGACTGTTGATATGCAAAACTTAAAATAAAGGAAATGACGGGCAAAGACCATTACATATCTGAAGCCCACCATCCCCCCAAAAAGGAAAAAACGGAAAAACTCTGAAGCCTGGAAGCTGTTAATGAGAGAGGTCCATAGGAGAGCACTCTCTTTCTCGCTGATTTAGTTTTCCGTTTCAAGATGAAGGAAAACACCGAAAGGAAAGCACTTCAAAGCAGATGTACAGCTTGTAGTAATGACTGTCAGACTACCATCTTTCCCCCGATTCACAACGTACCCTAATCGTGACTGTATTGGAGCGGTTTTGAAGTCAGCAAGAGATGGTGTGTATGATACAGTCATAATGAGGGTGCATTGTGTGTGTTGGGGCAAAGACGGTAGCATGCAAACTTGGTCGATTTGCCGAATCCGATTAGTCATTTCTATGCTGTGCTGTGATTGATGGTGTTTTCAACTTTCTTTCTATTCCTTCTGTTCTGCTGTCAGTCGAGGTGCATCGCTTTATGTCTCGATTGTTGTATCTATCTGTTCTTTAAGCATTTAAGAATGTTTTGTGTTAGAGAAATGGTTCAAACGTAAAGCTCTCTTATCCGTGGATGGAGTTACCAGAGGATCTGAGGACTCAGTGTCGCTTGGGACGTGTTAATATTGGAACCATAAAAATAGATAAAGTGTAGTATCTGTTCTGATCAGTTTAATATCTGACCTGTGGTCCATCGGACCACACACACACACACACAAAAAAAAAAAAAGCATGTCCCTGTGCGACGATGACACATAAATCGAGAAATGGTCCAAATTTTTTGAATGAAAACAAACTTGAAAAAAAAATAGAAATGATCGGAGGGCTCAGTAAAGGGGGCATCTGGAGTCCCTATGTGTAAGATGCATGACCAACCTATCGACGGAAAAGGTTGAGGTCTGACGTGTGGCTTTTGGTAAGGCATTACACATGGTGCGTGTGTGGAGCTCTGGGTTGCCTCGAAGGTTAAGTCTTTGCAGGATCTGAGTGTTCATGGTGCTTGTGTGGAACTCCGGGTTGCGTCGGAGGTTAAGTCTTTGCAGGATCTGAGTGTTCAGTAAGCAGGCATCTTGGTCATTAGTAGGCCTGACTCGTGGTGCTTCATAAGGCATGACACATAGCTCTTGGTAAGGCATGCCACCTGGCTATTCTGTGGGCCTCATGTTTGTCGGTTGTTTGTGTCCTCTGGATGGGTGTATGCGGTAACGACCTCGGTACCTGAGAGAGAGGTTAAGGTCGGACATGCAGATGTTGGTAAGGCAGGAAAACGTGGGGCTTGGTAAGGCATTCCGCGTGGCTCGCGTGTGGAACTCATTGTTGTCCGTTGTTTTTGTCGTCTGCACGCAGGAATGCTGTGTCACAGATATTGACCATGGACTGTGCTAGCTGTGGACTGAACTTGCTCCTTTTGGCTGGAGCCCTTATCATCAGCAAGTGTAGCTGGGATCCCTTATTTTCCCAGCTGGGTGCCTGGGTGCTTGCACAAACCTACATTTATTGTGGAACTTGTCGCAGAAAGGTGAGAGGGAAGAACAAGTCCAGCGAATCTCCATGCCTGCCTTCTTACCTCTGTCTATACTCGTGTCCATGCTTCCTCACCATGCTCGTCTCCCATCCCCATACCTGTCCGCGTTCTGACACTCACTTCTTTCTGCTCTACAGCGCAGTGGTGCCCCACGCACACACACACACACACACACACACACACACACACACACACACACACACACACACACACACACACACACACACAGAGAGAGAGAGAGAGAGAGAGAGAGAGAGAGAGAGAGAGAGAGAGAGAGAGAGAGAGAGAGAGAGAGGTTACAGGCAGAGGTTATGTTGGGCTATGGGGTCCAGGAGCTGATTCGACATCACAGGGGCAGACATTGATTGGACATTCGACAGGGAGACAATTTTTGGACTGCGCTATCGCGGCTTTGGTCTTCTCCCTCATCTCCATCTTCATCTTGCTCTTCCTCCATCCCCTCATCCGCGGTCCCTCTCTTTGCTCTCACATGTGTGGTGTCTGATGCGTTGGGTCGAGTCAGTGTCTGACTGGTCAGGTCATATTTTTGAGTCTTCCACTGCGCTACATTGTGCCATTTCTGTATGTATATGGATGTACATTGCTTGATGACGCTGCACTGTCCATTCGAGTCCTTGTCATCACTTTGCTGATCCTTTGGCTCCATTGCGGCACTCAGATTATGCATCAGCTGGTATCGGAGCTGAGCTAGGTGAATTTGGACTAACAAACAAGAAATTGCATTAGCCAACGGACAAGAAGGAAAAAGAAAAAAAATGAATTGAAATGAAAGGGCCAGATGGCGCTGCTGGAGGAAAACAGGGACATATAGCTCTTGAGGTTTTTAACAGACGCCCGTTTTCACGGGCAGCCTGAGAGTTTTATGGTAAGTTTTTTTTGTTTCTTTGTTGAAGTTCTTTTTTCTTTCTTCTTTTTTCTGTTCTTTAGTTTCCCCCACCGCCGAGTTTGGAAAACGGAAGGGCGCCATTTCAGGCAATGACCGCCTTTCCACTATTCACCACATGCTCAAAGACAAAAATTATGGTGGTGTATCTTCCATGTACTAGCTGAAGATTCACTCTCGTTTTGCACATGCCTAGAGTAGTGGGGCAAGGCTCCTTGACATGGAAACTGTCCTGCCCTGCCCCATTTGGACTGGATTCGAACATGGGTCTGCGATTCAATAGTTTGTGGATATATCAACGGTTGGGTTGTTGAGGTAAGTTTTTCTTTCTTAATGGCAGCACCTCGTGGTACACAACCTTTTCAGTTTTGAGAGGCTGGTGTAACCACACTGCTTCCTTCCTCCCACAATGCGTGAATATCTGCGGCCACAGGATCGTTGATCCAGTGGCTCAGATCGGTGCGTGTGGGAAGGGAGGAAGTTGGAAGAAAGTTGGTGGGAGAGAGAGAACAGGAGCTGGGAAAGGGATGTCCTACCTCTCCCATTCCTGACAGTTGTGCTCCCTGTTTTCATGGGAAGGCAGAGGAAAATGGAAGGGGGTGCTGTTAGCCTTAACAGCGAATAAAGGCCAAGGCCAGACTAGTACAGTTTAGGGGGTTGTGCTTTTTTCGTCTTCTTTTCACGTTTCTTTTCAGAATTTGTGAATCCTCGTGAGGACTTTTGTCCAAACGAGGTGCAGCCTCTGGCAAGGGCTGCCAGAGGTCATTGTCAGACTCCCAGGAGCCTGGAAAGTTAAAAGCCACCTGGCAAAGGCTGCCCCGTTTTCTTAGGGAGCGTGAAAAATTAAAAGCCACCTTGAAAGTGACTAAGTACAGGCCTTACTTGGAGGTATCTGCCGTGGGAAAAGCGTCCAGGTGCACAAGCTGTAAAGGGCTGTAACTTTTCAACCCCTTATCAGAAAAATAAAAGAAAAATAGATTTGCAATTCCCAGAAAAAGGACTATCTCGTGAAATTCCGAGATAGCACAAATAAGGAAAAATAAATAAAAAGCAGGCGGTTGTGGAAACTGCCTCGCCGCAGATCAGGGCTTAGACTAACTCCGTGATTTTGCCCGGGGGCTGGAGTGACGACCAGCACTCCAACCAATGTAAAAGAGCAGCTGTCCCCCAGCTGCCACACAAAGCACTCATGCTGCTGGTTTGTTGTCACACACTTGAGTTCTGGTGGAGGTGCTGGAGGAGACGCTGGAGGACTGCTGGGCTGGAGGAGAAGCTGGAGGTCTAGTAAGGCTGAGGGAGGACCTGGGAAGCCAAAGCCAAGGTTGGGAGCACTCTGCTCCTGCTCCACGCTGGTGCTGTGCCCGAGGGCCTGCCCCACTGTGGAGGGGAACCGTTGGACCCGGAATCTCCCTCCAGGTCCCTAATTTATTATCTCTACGGAATGTTTCGTTGACGGCAGGCTTCTCTTAAAGGCTATGCTGGTGGAGGTGCTGGTAGACTGGTTGCATGGCAGACTGATCCCCACTTGGTGGGGTTATACTGCCGGATTTTCGGCACGACGGCGACACTGTTTTTGAAGGGGAGGTGCTGCTCATTTTACAGCACAGTGGCGATGATATTTTCGGTGGGTATATGCTGCCGAATTTTTACGATGTCAGTGGCATTTGTCTTTGCGGCTTCATGTTGCGGGATTTGCAGCGCGCCCAGCGACACTGAATTGAAGGGAGGTGCTGCCAAATTTTTCGGCGCAGTGGATCTCTCTTTTGTGTGTGATCAGGTGGTGGTGCTGTTGAGCGCCGTGGGACCGGTTTTGGGCGGCGCATCTCTTCGGAACAAGTTTTTTTCTTTTATTTGCCTTACCTTCCCTGCATCTTCGGATATAGCATTCAATTTTTTTATTTTTCTTACACATTACATAGTCGTGGTTTGGAACAATGACAGCCACTGTTTGACCTAAGTTAACTCTGCCGCTATTTTTGGAGTGGTATGTGCATGACAGCTGTGGTGAGGTGAACTTTGACGTGTTCTGGAGGTGGCATCGACGCTAGTGCACACTTTGGACTTGGTTCCGAGTGTGATTTTCGACATAATTTTTTTTGAGGAGTGCGGCAGGAGCGGCTTGCAGCCTTGGTGCTGCGTGGTGGTGCGTGCGCTGGATTGTGCCGCATTGGCACTTGTGGATAGGCTGGGACGTGTGCGGCAAACTTATTATTGTTTTTTGGACGCCGTGACGCAGCACGTGGGCCAGCGGGACTAGGTGGGGCACGTGTGGGCGACACAGTGACCATTGGGACTCACAACACATGCGGTTTCGACATTTGGTACCGCGTTGATTTTTTTAATGAGCGGCAGAGAGCGCAAATGGGTAACCGTTACCCGTACCCGGCCGTACCCGACTATAACCGCCAGGTTACGGGTGGGTATGGGTATACCCCTTCCGAAGGGGGAGTTGGGTATGGGCAGACAAACAAAAGGTGGTGGTTGTTAGGGCGGGCACAGTTGCCCCTTTTGGAGATCATGGGTGGGTAGGGCCAGGTAGGGGTAGGGGTACAAAAAAAAAAAGAACGGGTATGGTTGGCCAAAAAAAGGAATAGACGGGTATGGGCAGGTACGAGTGGCCAAAAAACAAAAGGGGTGGGTACGGGCGGGTAGAGGTCGGGTAACCGTGTTATACGGGATGTGAGTCTTGTAGCTTTGCAGGCTTTGTATTTTTGCTCAAGCGTGACACTTTTCTCATATTCCAAATTTCTCGCTTTCCCATGACGCAAACGTTTCTCCTCGCAAGGGTGAATTTTATATTTCTTCATTTTTTGTTTTTCAAATTTTCAGACTATTTTCATATGTGTGTAACCCTGTGTATGTAATATTTGTGTGTGTGTGTGTGTGTGTGTGTGTGTGTGTGTGTGAGTGTATGTGTGTGCGACAGACCGAGGGTTGTTGTATTTGCAGATGCTATACAGGTTGCACAGGCTTCTGTAGCACCAGATGCATTCTTAGCATTATCAGAGTGACGAGATGTAACAAATGTTGCTTTTGGGGCAGTAGCTGCAGCAGATGCCACATCTCGAAAAAAATAAAATAACATAATAGTATTAATAATAATAAAAATTACCACGTCAATCCTATGACGTATAGGGGTTGGGAATAGTTGGGGGCGGTTAAGGACAATTAGGGGCGGTTAGGGATGGTTAGAAAAGAAAAAAAAAACATTAGGGGCGGTTAGGGACAGTTAGGTACAGTCAGCGGCAGTTAGGGACAGTTAGGGGCAGTTAAAGACAGTTAGGGGCAGTTATGGGTGGTTAGAGGAGGGTGAACGATGAACACGGGTGGTTACAGGTGGGTGCATACAATTATGGGTAGGTACGGGTGGGTACAGGTAAAGAAAACTTGGGTAGGGTAGGGTATGGGTGGTTAACAAAGGGTTTGGGTTCAGGTGGCCATGGGTGGTTTTGAAAAAAATTGTTCATGGGTAGATATGGTCAGTTACATGTTGAAGAGGTCCAGGTATGGTAGGTCTGGGTATAGTTTTTTTTTTTCTTTTTAACAGGTGGAGATGGGTACAGGTCCGGTAGACCAGTCATACAGTGGGTATGGGTGGTTGGTTTTCAAAGAGGGTGTGGTTAGGTCAGGTACAGATACTCCTAAAAATCCCAGTTGTGAACTCTGATGAGCGGTTATGATAGTTGAAGCCACCTGGTGCAGTGCGCGGTAGTGCAGGACCACTTGGGACCCTAAGGCAACAAACCCCTGCCCCAAATTTCTCCTAGAGAAAGCGGCACATACTTCGGGTAGCGCAGTTTCTCCCCTTCCTCCTCTGTGAGAGTGACTTGGACAAAAAGAAAGAGAAAGCAGGGGGTAAGACTCATTCGGATGGGCACAGATAAGGTGGGGCGTTTGGGATAGAAAGGGTCACCTTGGGAACAAAGCTAAGTTGAGTTGATTGCACGAGCCGGTTCGGGCCTGTGCCAAGCCATCGAAGTTCTGACCGTATCCTTGCTGCTGTACTACTCCGTTCAACCATCTGGCTGCAGATCCTTCTAAAAAGGATGCAGCGACTATAACCTCTTCCTCGGTCCTTGTGAGCTTATGC